TATTTATTTATTTATTTATACTTATTTATAAATCTCTGATACGCCTTTTTATCTGCTTATTTCGTTTGTAATGTAATAATAATAAGAGTAACTCACAGGTCATTTGGAAAATATCAGTAAAATCGTCTGTAAAAATAAGCTTTTTCTTCTACATAGCTTCATAAACTTACTGTTATATAAGATCTTTCATACTTTTCCATAACGTGTCCTTGTTTCTGCAACAAAGGAAGAAAAAAGGAAAAAATACTTTAAGTTTTGTGTAATACTTTTCCCCCGTGCGTCCATTAAATAAACCGACTCTAGAGGGCGCTCTAAGCCTCTTCTGACTGACCTCTGCCTGGTTATAAACACAATTCATCTAGTGGAGGAAGAACTCCGACCGGAAGTCAAAGTACTAATACGACACTTTAGAAAAGTCCTGCATTAAAAGTGTTACCTACTAAAAACTAAAAGTGGGTAAATATAATCAGAAAAATTTACTTTATGTATTTAAAGTATACTTAATGCAGAAAGATGTACCCTGTGACTGTTATATACTATTGTATGATATCATTAAATTATTGTTATTCATTTTACTGTTGTAGTTGGTTGAGGTACTGCAAAGGACTGTCACTAATGATTATTTTATTTTCATTATGGATTAATCTGCTGATTATTTTCGCTATTAATCAATTGCCAAACAATGGTTGTTTCCAACCAATAGTACAAAATTCAAAATCATTCATTTAAATTTAAAATAAGATTAAATTCTTACATTTGTGAAACCTTGAAGTTTTTCATGAAAAATGCAGATTTTTAAAATAGTTGCCAATAATTTTTCTGTTAATCGACTAATTGATTAATTGACTAATCATTTAGGCTCTATTTGCTGTCTTAATCTTAATTATTTAATCAATTAAGTTAAAGTAATTATTAACTAAAGCTGTCAAATAAATGTAATGAAATAGAAAACTGCTAAATTTTCCTCTGAGTAGAAGTATACAGGAGCATAAAATGAAAATACTCAGATTCAGTGACCACTGTAGTGGTGGAAACTGAGTAGCCTACTCTAGTACTTTATGTTTCCTCAACGGTGTTTCCTTGTTGTTTAAGTCTAATTTTACCTTTCGTTGAACTTTAAAACATATTGTTTACACAGAAAGACCATTTGTCCATTACTATCCTTTAAACCAGCTCCAACCTCATAAACACTAAAGTTTTTCAAAAACTTCTCAAAGATACATTTCCGTCTAAACTCCTCCAATTTTTTTTAATTTGAAAAATGTTTAAAGCTCAAAGAGGTTAATTGATAAAACATTGCACAAATAAAGCAAAATAAAGATTACAGAAAAGTCCAAAAAATTAACACAAATCCTCAGATCACCAGATATCATGTGACCCTTTAGAGGGGGTCACTGGTCTAAATGCTACTTTTACATTGATGCTTCAGTATGAACAATCTAATAATGTCATATATTATCATACATCAGACACAGGGGCCATTTTTCTGCAGTGAGTACATTTATTTTTGAAACTTTAAGTATATTTTGGCCATAATACCTATTTTACTTGAGCAGGGTTTTGAATGCAAGTCTTGCGAAGGGAGTATTTTTACATTGTTGTATTTGCACTTAACAGTGCTTTATCTGACTGTAGTTTGACGTCTCAGGCGTGAATGTGAGTGACGACATGAATATAAAACAGAAACAGAAAAACGACATCAAACCCTCATCAGAAGAGTACATTACAAAGAATATACACCAATACCCCTGTGATTTGAAATACTCTTTTAATTCATGGTATCACTCAACCATCCAAAATACGGGGCTCCTAAAAAACAGTTGTCACTTTAGCACAAGACACACTATTGTGGTTAAATGGTGAAATTAATTTACAATGTTTGTCTCAAAAATCTCTCTATTTGGCCCAGCTTTTACAAAAGTATACATACATCATTCTGCACTATATCTATGCTTCCTTATATCTGTGCTTTGTTGTTAGGCTATTTTTTTAAAAGGCACTGAGGTAAAGGCACTGAAGCACAGGTAAAACACATCTAAACTCCTGTCCATGTCTGTTTGGACTTTCTTGGCGTAGAATAGAAAGTGAAATGTACTGATCATTAGTTGTTTTTTTCACAACGACACTCAGCACTTATGATTCATGGCATGATAAGATTAGGAAGCATTTAAAGTCCAACGGTAAATCAAACGGTGTTTACTTGTATTACTATTTGAAATATATCAAAAAAGGAATGCACATTTCAGGACATTATTTACAAAATGCTATATGCCCATTTCTGAGGAAAGAGGAGGAAGAGGGAACACATCTTCATCTAAAGGTTGTCATTCAATATCCTAATACACACAAGCAAAAAAAGGCCTACACAATGGGGATACTCTTGTATTATTACTCCACATTAAGCCTAACTACACATGATGCAACATCAGTACTGATTGTGCTACTGCCTGCTCTTATTTTGAAGGGTTTCTCATGTGGGCCCACTTCCTGATGAGCTCAAGTATCAGACTGTTAGATGGCAGGAAGATCCAGCTTCAGCCTCACTTGTGTTAAATACCAAAAGATTTCACATATGAACCATAAATTATCCTGTGTTCTTGTGTGTTAACAGTTAAATTAACAACATTGTGTGTTATGTACCAGTTCAGTCACAGCTCAGTGTGTCTTCAGCCACGAATGGCATCATAGAGATGGAAAGAGAGGACGTACTGTACAGCATGTACACAAACTATTAAAGTGTGAGTCTGTTGCTGCTAAAATTCGAGGTCCAGAGTCAGAAAATCCCAGCTGGAAAGTTGTTCATACACTCAGGGAGGGGTCTACATAAGAACACTGCTCCCCACGCAGATGTTTAAGATATGACAACATATGTTTAGGTTGTTAGCAAAGACTGTTAGCAACTGCAATGTCACAATTAAAATGTTATCACACAGGGTTTTTTGACTAATCGAAAGACATTTTTTGGGAAATAAGCTTATTGGGAAGATTGATTCCACTCTTGTATCTGTACACTAAAGATACAAACGCCAGCCGGCTAGCTTATCTTAGCAAAAAAGACTGTAAAAACAAGAGGAAACAGCTAGCCTGGCTCAAAATATATTTGCAGCACTACAGTTGTACAAACTGAAGGTGCATTTCTGTTACCTTTGGACAGAGCGTGGCTAAGCTGTTTTCCCCGGTTTACAGTCTTTAATGCTAAGCTAAGCTAATTGTCTGCAGGCTGTAGGCTATAGTCTCCAGATATTAGTAGTAGGCCAATACTTCCACATTTTGGAAAATATGCTTTGTTGCTGAGAGTTAAATGAAAAGACTGATACCACTTCTATGTCTGTACTTTTAGCCTGGTTCTGTCCAAAGGTATCAAAATCCAGCTACCAGCTCCTCTAAAGCATTAAAAAAATGCTAAGCTAAGCTAAGAGGCTGCTAGCTGTAGGTTTATGTTTACTGTATATACACTCGCCAAGTGTATTTCCCAAATGTCGATCTATGCCTTTAAGGTTACACGATACTAAAAATGTAAATGCTAAAAATGGTAACATATTTAAGGGTTTGAGAAATATCGGGTTTAACACAGAATTTTGGCTTCAATTAAAGCCAAATGTGTTGCATTGTATTTTTCCCTGTGAAAAAGCCAAATTTCAGACTTTGTAACATGTCTGGAACGCAGCTCCTGAACAAGGCTACAACTTGTTCCACCAAAAGTTGTTTTGGGGGGGTTTGATCTTTGGCAATGAGACACAACATAGGGAACCCATCATCACAAGGAATTGGGTCAGTTACAGTTTGAGAAAGACAAAATGTGTAAACTCCCATCCTGAAAAAAAACATAAAGCAGTCCCGTAAACCTTCCTCAGTCAATCACTGAGAAACTTTCTGGAGTTGTTGTTCTGTCCAACAGAGCTCTTTTTACTCCAGGAGAAGAAGTCAGCACGGAGCAGGCGGTAGAAATAAATCAGAATCATAATATTCATCACTATCATAGAGGCGAGAAAGTATCCACCGTGGTCCAGCCAGGAGTAGTTTTGGACAATGTACCAGGTGAGGTAGAACTGTGTGCATAGACGAAACGTCACGTAGGTGAAGAGGTTGGTGAATTTGTTGATGGAGTACATGTAGGAGGACTGAGCGCCCGCCAGCTTCAGCAACAGCCTTAGATGCAGGGTGACACTGTTGACCTCTACGAAGAGAGCCACTACAGCGCCGGCTACATACAGCTGAGTGTAGAGGGCGTAGAGGAAACACCAGATCACCTGAGGAAGAGGCAGACATTGTTAATAAAAGTGCTGCACAAATAAAGTTTGGCATGAAACTCTCATAAAGCAGAGGTCATTCTGTGGCCACTGTTCAGCAAAGTGAGATCAGTAAGCAAGCAATTTAAACAATTTATCCACAGTTAAGTATGTGCAGTCTGAAAGTGCAAGTACATTTCATACATTTTAGTGTTCAAATAACAAATTCCTACAATTATGTCATGTTTTCTGGCTCCACTGGTCAGAAAGTCAGTTAAGAGTCAGAAACCTTTTGTATAATATGTCTTTTTGTTAGTATGAAGAATACTATATTTGGATTGGTCCTTTAAGAGTACACATTTTTATTTTATTGTGTATTTTATCATAAATGTATTTATTTTGAATGGTTGTAATTACACTTTCACAATAAACTGAATATTCTGATCTAAAATCACACTTCTATCAAAAAGAAAGTGTCATTGGGTCTGGAGTCTGCTTCTGAAAACAGAAAAAAGCCCGGCTTCATCTTCATCAACAATCAAATCAACCTCACTAACTCACTTATCAATCAGACAATGTGGGCTGAAAATAATTTAATTTATGGTGCTCGCAGCGAATGTTCCAGTTACTCTGGATAATCCAGAAACTTCACTCTCCACAGTTTCAGCCAAAAAACATTTCCAATTAAATCCATTCAGAGTGAGGTCTGTTATCCAGACTAACTGGGTTTCTGGAAATACAGGTTGCTGTATATATATATAGATAAGGTTTTTAAACAGCTGAATAAAACTGAATCTGTTTCAGGTGCTTCTGTACGAGTGTAAAGCTCATTAGCAGAAAACAAACTGCTGCCAGGTAAAAAATACAGACTAAAAGCTTTGTTATGCTTTAATCCTTACCAATAATGGTTTGGCCTGACTTGATTAGCATGCAACAATAACATGACTTTGACCAAATAATAAAGAGTTAATGAAGTTTTATGTCACTGCAAGTTTGGCTAATATACAGTATGAAACTAAATGCCACTGTATGTAAGAAGAATATTTAAATAGCTAAATATCTATGATGTGTTTGTAAAGCAGTCATGATTAACTTTATGTGTATGCTCTATTATCATTACAAATGAAACTCTCAAAATCGATCTACATGCATTTTACTTCATTTAAACTACCTATATTTTTCAGCTGATAAACGATATACTATACATGATCCTGTCTGACGTGATGTTTTCAACCATAAAGCTATTTAAAGGGTACAGTTAACGTGTTTCAGGGATAAACAGTCATGATGCACTTAAGATAACAGTTAATCTCATGAGTTACAATGATCTGATCTATTATTTTCCTGTAATTATTCTCCCCACTCGGGACTTGTTTGTTCAGTGGATACTTGATTAATAATTAAACGGTAGTCAGTAGAGACCGACAACAGCATATACAACAAATCTTTAAGCCCTAATGTACAACACAGGTCATTTACGACACGACCCAATTGGCAGCATTTTATGTTTAAGTTATTCTCATAGTAACACCTCACTTTGTCTTCCTCTCTCTGTCTTTTACATACTTGCAAAGCATTGTACCTGTGAAGATCACCTTAACATTAACTCTCTTATGTTGAGTCTCGATATCTTATCTGAACCAGAAATACAACCTTGATAGAGTTAAAAATGAAAACGTGGCCACGCCTTACCAGTGTGTGATGGACTAGGAACTCCCATGATCCTCGTGCATGTCCTGTCAGGATAATATCTCCTGCATCTTGCACAAAGTATCCTAAGAGGGGAGAGAAAATGTCATGTAGGGTGAATCAGCAGAATAACAGTTTTGTCTGTTTGTATATTGGATTGTCTAGTTCTGACAGTGAAGCCATCAAGTAACTGCTATTAAAACATACATATTCAGGTGGTACAATGGTGGGAAAGGTAATCTATAGATATTCAGTGCGTGGGTCACAATCTTTAAAAGGTGCCGGTCCAAGAAGTGGAGGTTAAGAATAAAAACATGTTTTTTATTTGCAAGTCTTAAAGGTCCAGTGTGTGACATTTAGGAGGATATATTGGCAGATATTGAATATAATATGAATAGGTTTTTATTCGTGTAAAATCATTATGTTTTTGTGACCTTAATGAGCCATTTTTATCTACAGAGGGAGTAAGTCTTCTTTTACGGAAGAAGATGAATCATTCGTACTTGAAGAAGAGTTTTTGCTAGTTGCCAACCTAATTCTGAAGGTTTACTCGAGGTGGGGGATATTTAACATAGACCCAGAACACATGTGTCTCAACCGGCCGCAAACTGGCGACTACATGCATACATCTAATTGGAGAATTTAACAAAAACAAGTCCTCTGGTTACCTAACTTTCCCTCTATCCCACAGGATGCCTCAGCCAGCCAGTCTCACCCTGGGCGATAACTTTAATCTCATCCTACAAGCAATATGTGGTATAGCTTGACACTGGCTCTAGATATGGTCATTTGAGTTTTTTGTGCGTTTTGTGACAAATGCATTCTTTGCAATCTGCAACTACAGATGCCACTAAATCCTACACACTGGATCATTAAAGCTTTTATCTGACATATTTTGTTTTCCTTTTGTTTTCTCTTGTAAGTAATGTAAGTAGTGTCCTGTGAGCCCATGAAGACGGGGAATGTTTAGGTTAGTAAAACTTGAATAAAACTATTTATATTCATGAATCTGATTCTGATATCACGTGTGACACATTTTGCTTTGCTTGTGAAAAGTATTTTCTTTTTCCCTTTGCATTAAATGTGCATACATAACCTTATGCCAGAGAGCTGACAAAGAGCAGATTCACCTCATTGTAGTGAAAGGTGATTAACCAACCAGGAAGTCAATATAAAGTCACGCTGGTTCAACTAGACAGGTGTGACTCGATAAACCAGACAAATCTGTCTACAGTGGGTGACTGTGGCTGTTTTAATGCTTCACCTCATTCAACCATGAATAATAACAGGTTGTTAAGCATAGAAAATTAGGAATTCCAGCTTTTAGAGGCAACACGTGGATGAAATAATCTCTTAGATACTATTCCTTCAACATGTTCCCAACATGACAGAATGTTTTTATCCAAACTAACAGCAGCTTTAAATTCACAGGAGGGTTTTCACGTGTGTCTTATTAGTGACATTACAATGCAAGATTTCCCCTGTGTCACTTGTTGTTAATCAGCCAGTCATAAAGAGACATTAACTAATCTGACAGCAGAGTAAAATGTCTCTCTTCTCCATTATTTTTAGAAAATGCCAGCTAAACAATTCACAACATGACCACGGCTATTAAACTGTGTAGGCCTCATTTAGCTGGAGGTTTTCAAGTGACTAAGAGTCCTTCTGTGCCTCCGTATGACTGGCACGCTGCAGCTACACAACCAGCCCCTGTCTTAAAGAGCATGACCTCCAGTATCTGGGGGGGTTGGCCTCAGTGGAGCTAATAGCTGTTTGCGGTTGTTATGGCAGATCTCCACAGATTTGTGTCTTCATGGTAACACAAAGATGCACATAAGAAACAACCTCATGACAGCACAGCTCAACCAGACCACCGAGTCTTTAGTGGATTATCTTTGGTGTCCATGGTGATGTAGAGACAACGCCCATTTTGTCTGTTCTGAGAATCAGGTGAGAGAGGCGGCTCTTGTTCTTTCTCTGAGGTTTTACACCTTGTCTTTCAGGGTTCAGTTCAGCTCAAGTGTAGAGAAGAAAATGTTGTCAATCGACACCTCTCCTGCATTTCCCTCTCATGCATTAAACCAGATCAGAGTGGTCGATTAATGGTTTTATCTCCTCAGAAGTGAAGATTTGATCCTGTTCTTTGTCATAAATGATATATCTTTGAGTTTTGGGCTGTTAGTTAAACAAAATGACATATGAAGACACTACTTTGTTCTTTGGGAAATTGTACTTTTTACTGTTTTCTGATATTTTAGTGACAAAACCAGTGACCAAGAAAATAATCTGCATATTGACTGATAATTAAAGTAATTCTTTTTTGCACCTTACATTGAACACTGCGAACAAGTAGATCTTTAGACTACAGATCAACTATATACATGCAAATTTCTATGTGTACCAAAAAAAACAAAAATGCATTCTGTATTTGACATCTTTGCAGTTGTCATTCTTTTCCACAATACGTTTACTGACCTGTTGAGACGCAGACGAGCAGGTAGGACAGAGGGGTGTGGTAAGAGTGGATGTTTTTCAACGTCTCAGGCCAAACCACCACACTGGAGAGGGATACATGTTATGGATAGATGGGTCTGTATTCGGCTCACTCAGACATACATGCGCTCACTCCTGGAGAAAAAAGCCTGACTAAGCAGAGACATTAATATCAGGTGTTTGGGCTTTTTTTTAACCCCCTGACCAAAGATATCTCTTCAGAAATTGATAATTTTAATACTATTTACTATTTAGTTTGTACCTGTGTCCATATATCTAAGAAAAAGTATTTTTTCTGGAATCTTTTTCTCTAAAAATAGACTTTTTCTGTGTGAGTTCCTGCTGCTGTGAGGTAAAAGGGGCACACCTCAAACAGCCAAAGTTTCTGTGTCCCCTCCTTGTATAAACATACCATGACAGAATTATTGTTAATAAATGGCCTATAGTCTTTCTGTGACATGTGAAGTAGTGTACTGTTTAACATGTTGCTTTGGCACACCTTTGAGTACACAAAAACTTTGAACTTCTGAATGTGAAAACGAGCTTCTTTCACCCCTCAATCGCTACTAATTCACAATGTCACACATTAAATGCAGCAATAGTAACATGAGAGTACAGACAGCTCACAGAATTTAGTCCCACCTTGTTAACATTAAAAGATGAGTCACAAGCATAGGTCCCCGCCCCAAAAAATAGTTTCCCATGATGCTTTCACAAGAATCAGTTAGCCAGCAGGTTTTTCCAGTTGATACCATATATCTGTTCTCTGAAAGTAAGCTAGAAAAGATTTGTTTCTTTACACATGTTCGAACGCCAGTCCAAACAAATGGCAAAAACAGCCTTGTGTGGCTCATACTGCCCAGTGGCATTTCCCTCCCCACTTATAAATGCCATTGTCTCCCCCGTCCCTCGCCCTGTCTGAACATGCCCTTCTTCTCCTGGCTGCCACAGGCTGTCACTGCTGCACACACACACACACACACACATAACACATCATGTGGACTGTGAATAGACAATGGTGTCCCACTGTGGATAGACAGACAGATGTTTTGAAGGAGACTTACCAGGTCAGGGCCCATGCCCCAGTCAGCAGGGAATGCACCATTGAGACGGAGAGGTTCCTCCACTTCCAGGAGTGGAGGTCATTCTGCTTCACCACCTTGGGCACAGGCAGCCTTTGCAGCAACTGGTGGACCACCCTGAAAAGCAGAGAGCACACCAGTACTGCCAGGCCTGGGTGACTCTTCAGCACAGGAAGCAGGGCGTCCATCCTCCCCACCCCTGCTCTCCCTCTGTTTCTGGGCGCTTGCTCTTACTCTCTACCTCCCTTCGTCCTCTCCCCCTCTTTTGGCTTTTTTCGCGCTTCTCTCTCCTCGGCCTAGTGATGGACAGATATGCACGGTAGGCCTATGTCATGGGAGTGTATTCCAGGGCAGGGGTCTGCAGAGAGAGCTGATCCTGTTGTTTGTTTTTGTTTTTTGTTTGTTTGTTTTTTTAGAAAGCAGAGCTGATGTCCGAATGATGCTGGAGCCTTTTTCTTGTCACGTTTCCAGCGTGCCGAGCCTGGAGGGGAAGTCTTGGAGGGGATCCCTGTCGCAGCTCATTCCAGTGCGACGGTGTTTGCCTTTACGCAGCGCCTTGCGATATTACAATGTGCCGCCGCTCTCTGCCCGCCCGTCTGTGCAGAATGAAGGTGGGAGTGGTGGAGAGAGGGAGCCGGACTGCTGCTGCTCCCTTTAACCAGAAACAAGGAGGGGCAGACTGCGATCAAGTTACGCAAGGGACAAAATCACGGAGCATGGCTGCAGTGCCGAGAAGTGATTTTGGGTAAGCATGTCGAAAAATACATATAGAAATGTTAAATAGCTTCACTGTAAATGGCTGCCTGCGCACGCAACGCGCTGTGCGTAAAGTCCCCTTCTCGCTGCGTCACGCATTTAATTTAATAATAACAACAATTCTAGCTCTAGCAATTATATCCAACGCAGGATGTGTCTCTTTTGTCACTAGCCTAAAAGACTATAACATAACTACTGATCTATAAGCTGATGTCCACAGTATTTGGAGCAGGGACATCTGTTGCGCTAGTGGTGGATGAATTATACAGATTGATGATTGATGATGATTCATTTGCTTATTATTTTGACCAAATTCTATAGGCCTATGTATAAATCTTATTTTTTTAAGCAAAAAGCCCAAACTTTTTAGAGCTCATTGTCCATATCAAACACTTTGAATTCAATTTCAATTCAATTTTATTTGTATAGCGCCAATTTATAACAGTAGGCTAGTTATCTCCGGATACTTTTCAAATAGAGCAGGTCTAGACCGAACTCCTTATAAAATTATTAACAGAGACCCAACAGTTCCCACCATGAGCAAGCACGTGGCGACAGCAAAGAAAAACTTCCATTTAAGAGGCAGAAACCTCGGAAAGACAGAAAAGAGAGAGAGAGAGAGAACAGAGACAGAGACAAGAGCCAAAGGCGTGCCACAGGCGCAACAACCAGTAGGCAACAACTAGCCACTAATAGTGTACTGATGATGCATGAACATGAAGAAAGATTCATGCGCGACCGACGAACCCAACAACGATGGGAGACAATGAGCAAGTGATTATAGAAATGACTAATCATCTGTAGTAATAATAGTAATAATGATAATAATCATAATATCAGTTGATATTAGCAGTGGGTAGTGCAAGGCAGGACCATGGCAGGAGAAGGCTCAGCAACCAGGATCGCATGAGAAGTCCTGCGAGACCGCAGAAAGAACTCCGGGGCAGCGCACGTGATTAGCTGAACTCCAATTAATGGGATCCATGAATCGAGATGCAGCAAAGAAGAGAGAGAGGAAGAGAGGAGGGTGGATCATGGGAAATCCCCCCGATAGTCTAGGCCTATAGCAGCATAACTAAGGGATGGTTCAGGACTCATCTGTATCACTCCCTCTATATCTGAATGCACAAACAAAAAGCAGTTAAAACGTTTAGACTATTTTAAGCTTTATAAAATGTTTATTTAACCTGTTGTTTTTTTACTTTATTATTACCTGTAGTCCTCCTGGATAACTTGAGATCACAGCCTCAAGCTTTATACACAAGATGTTTGAACATGTTGTCCACAAGTTGATTTTACAAGTTAAATCTGTACAATACAGTACTCTCTAGTTCTGCTTCCTCTCTTCATGGTAGATTTCACTGCTGAAGTTGGGAGGTGGTGTACCACTAAGGCTAAATGTACACCACAACTAGGCCACATATTTCACACACATGGGTTTATGCTGATGATACATGACTGTGTTTCCCCTTTAAACCAGGTTATTCTATTAATGTAGTCAGACATTTGAACTGACTTTCTGATCCTTTAATTTGACAAGTATGTGTCCAGGGTGTTTTTCTTTAGATGAGAACAATAGTTGAATTAAATAAAAACAGTGAGGGATCTTGAGAAAGTAGTTGGTGCTTTTATTTTGTCTGGCTTGAGTCAGTTTCTTGCCTTTATCCCATTTATAATTTGTTTGTAATTATTTTCCCTATTATAATCATGTCTTACTTACTTGACCACGTGCACACCCTCAAGGGGATATAAAAGTTCACTTTGACTCACACCATTCATAGCATTAAATACATTTAACACATTAGATGATCAAATACAGAATTAGATTTTTATGTAGGTCAACTGGTGGCGAGGTCAGCAAGAAGCGCTGTTACTGTAAATATAGATTGATAATATAACCATACCCATCTTTGTTATGTTTGGAGCAAAACAATATAAGTCTGGTATGTTAAACAGGCAGCCCAACAGTAACACCCTCCTTCCTTGGTCCTAACTCGTTCCATAAACACAGCGTGGCTCACATTCCCCACAGCCGGCCCCTCTGCTGTCCGGTGGGGGAAAAGGAAGTGAGCTGAGCAAAACTTAGCAGCTAAGACCCTTCACCTGCACCACAGCTGTGAAATATAAACCCACACACCAGGAGTTTACTTTTTATTTTTTACCTGCATAACATTTTCTTCAGTTAATTCATAACTGATGTATTCCTTTAATCTTATCGGTTACAATACAAACACAACATTGTGTGAAGGTAATTGATTCACAGTCATGTATAAATCCCAGTTTTATGCTTACTGAGTTGACAAAGACTAAAACTAACACAGATAGTTTTGCAAGTACACAATTAGTGTTAGTTAGCTTTTTATTTTTATTTCAGTTAACTAAAATGTTTTGTCACACCTAGTTTTAGTTTTCAGTTTAGTTTTCGTTGATCTGTAAATTATTTTTATTCCTTGTTTATTTTCCTGTTCCTTCTTTTAATTCTTTATTTATGCATGTTTGTTTTATTTTGTTTGAAATTGAATGTCTTTGACTCATATGTTGATTTCTCACATCTGTTCCATATTTACTAATGGACTGCACGCACTATAACAAAAATACATTTACAGAACATTAAAATACTTTCCTTAAATCAAAACGGACAGTGTCCTTATACAGCAGAGTTAAAATGATCTCTTCAGTGATGCAGATTCTGGCCAGGGATCTTTATTGCATGTCACCCAGATCCCTCTCTCCCTTTATTTCCTGTTTCCTCGACTATCAAATAAACTATCAAATAAAGGCAAATCAATTGTGATTGATTGAGTGATTGATATGGAACATTGCTGTGACCTGTTAAATGTCCCATACCAATCACATCTTTAGATAAAAAGCTGTATAAAGTGAACATAATACTATCTTGTATTATTCAATTGTTTTTTTTTTTATTTAATGTGTATTTTCCCATCTGTTGTGTTGTATCTGGAGCTGCTGTAGCAAGGGTTTTTCCCTAGTGTGGATCAATAAAATATATCTTATCTTATCAAATAAAGGCAAATAAAGAAACAGTTATCAGAGCTCGAGTCTGCCCCCTACAATCAGGATGAGTATAGGCTACAGTTTTGAAAAGACACCACGAGATGGCAGCAAAACCTCAAGTGAAGAACAAACATCTCACACAGACAGATTCTGTTTTTCAGCTCAGTGGTTTTCAGTTCTCCAACAAACCATATGGGGGCGTCTCTTTCCTGAAAACCTCCAGGAAGACCCACCTCTCTGGTGTAGTGATTGTTGAGACGTGCTAGAAAATTCCCCGTGATTAATTAAAGCTGCATTTCTTTTCATGTCAAGTTGCACCGCTCTTACAGTAATAATTGCAAATGGTGTTAATTACATGAGTGTTGGTGTGTGAGAGAGAGAGAGAAAAAAAGAAGAGGAAGAAGAGAGGACTGAATATGTGTTATCAGTGTCAATAAGCCTAATGCTCCTTTCTCTTTTTACCAAAGTATGAAACTTCAAGCATGAAACATGAGCCATATAATTAATCTACTTTCATCCATTGAGTACAGGGCTCTCTGTAACAGAACACCCTGCGGTTAGACAGAGAATTGTAACTTAATACCATTTCTTGTGTTTCCCAGTTGCCTCACTGTGGTTATTTTGTTCTTGTGTGAGAGAATGAGAGGCGTTTGCTCTCATAGTTTTATCATAGGAACCTCTAGTTCCTCACAGCTTCATGTTTCCAAAAAACAAAAAAAACAGCTCATGATTTCTTTTAGAAGATGCAAAAGGTTTCATACTGTAGTGGCTGCTGCTGCTGTTGTTGTTGTTGCATCCAGGCCAGAAGGTCCCCCAGTATCATGTGAGAATCTTTGTGCCTGGCTCAGCACTGAACCATATTGATCTTTGGGTGTTTTTTTTCTTTCCTCTTAGGGCTGTTGAGAAACAGCCACTGTGGAGACTCTGCGAGCAGCCGATAGAGAGAAAATCTCTGGGTTAATTGATTTCCAGAGAATGCATCATAAATAGCCAAACAAAAATAGGTCCCGTTTTGGTCAGCGGAAGATTCAGTTTCTTTCTATTTTCTATTGTAAGTTCTAAAAAAAGTATAAATTAAAGGTCCAGTGTGTAACATTTAGGCGGATCCATTGGCAGAAATAGAATATAATATTAATAGGTATGTTTTCATTAGTGTATAGTTACCTGCATATAGGAATTGTTGTGTTTTCGTTACCTTAGAATAAGCTGGTTTTATCTACACATGCCGTGGGTAGCCTTCCATGGAGTCAGCCGTGTTGAACTGCCACGTAGTAGCCCAGGTGGAGCCTTAAGCATCATTTGCAAGTTTCTTGGCCACCATAGTTTGTCCTGCATATTTCACAGCCAGTTCTCATTCCCAGGCTGTCAAACAGAGACGCAAGCAGTGTACAATCTTACACATGAGTCCTTTGATAAAATACTTTATTGAGATGAATGAATTTATTAGATTCATTTTTTACATACAGTTTGTGATCCTCAATTGTGTGAACAGTTACAGGTGCTAGCAAGAACGGTAATAATCAAAAATAAGTAGAATATTTTATAATATTTTATAAAATGTATGTAGAACTTATCTAATAGTAATTGATTACTAAAATAAACATCCAACAAGATACATCAAGTGAACAGTGCAAAGTTTAAAAAGCAAGAAAAAATAATAAAATACCAATAATCACGCACAAACTATGTATATAAATATACATATAAATACACACATACATAAATTAGTGTATTAAAATAAAACAATGAGAAAGCCATTGGATAAAAGTTTTTTTTATCTTTATCAGTTTCAGTGGCCTGAAATCTTTGCAAAGACGATGTAGAAAAGCACAGGTGTTATAGCATTAACAATCCTCCTCATTCATTTTATAATTATTTATTATTATTTATTTGTACCTGTGCTTTTCCTGGTTCTATGACCTCTTATAATGTGTGAAACAGTGTGAAACATGTCTATCTAAGATAAGATAATCAGGTGAAAGCAACCTCACCCACAACTTCCTGTTATGCCTTGCAAAATCTCAAGAGATAAATGGCTCCTCATTCACGGTTTCATACCTGGGGTTTAGCATCAGTTTCACTATCCTACACAGAGCATTCCTGGTCACTGACTGTTACATCTGGAGGCAGATCTAATGATGACAGGAGACAGGCCAAATATGTCACTAAGCTAGTCTGAGGAGTGGCATATATACTGCATGGCTCCTTTAGGTGCTCCTTTGTTGAGATATTATACCCCTGAGAAAAGAGCAAACTATTGTTTGTTAAACCACCTACTCGCCTATCTTCCCTCCACCTAACTTCATTTAAAAAACTGCAAATTGTAGAGAAAAGGTTCAATTACACAAAGATCACTGTTTGTGGTGATATATCATTATTTCAGACTGATGATAATAGTGGAGGTATGTACTTCAGCACAACACAGAGCAGGCTTTGTCACAGCACAAAGCATTTATTATCCCCACCGTGGCAGAAAGGGGAAACAGTGCTCATACAGCCTCCTTCCTGCTTATCTCAGACAAGGGGAAGGCGCTTTATAATCATCAGGCGTCTGAATGTAAGACTACAGCATGTGAAGTCCATGCTCAAGACGCTACACTAATTACATCTGTCTCACTGTTTCTCTCACTGTCTCCATTTAAGTTTCCCTTGACTTAATTTGTTTCCTGGCACAATAGTTAGACAACACTGTAGATGGCTTTTCAAGTCAGTACACAGAAAATCATATAAAATGTACTTGTACTTTTCAGAAAGGATATGATGTTGGTTGGACTACAAATACTAGCAGGACAGACTTCATACTGTATGTGGAAAAAGTGGAAATTACATAAAATAATTAAATTAAGCTGCTTTCTTTGTCTTTTTCAGTGTCCACTGTGGCTGCACGGCTGTACACTTTCTGATGGTTAATATACATATATTTTATTTTAAGAGCCCACTCAGACATAGTGACTTTAGAAATATGCAAAGTAAAGGTAAGTAAACAATTACAGGAGTAAATATATTACCAGAAAAATTTATCGTAACAGGTCATGATATTAAAACCGAGGGAGGAAAATGCAGGGGGAGGAAGAACCACTATTTATATTTTGACAATTTGACTGTAATAGCACAGCCGTAAATAATAATGAATGATGGCTGCAATCCTTTTAGCTGCTTCGGTTCCAGGGTAACAGGCTGGCTCACTGCCACTGTCATGACTTACTGAGAAGAACTGAACCATCAGTAATGTTACTACTAAAAACCTATGCTAGGTCTACAGTATTAATATATATATGTATATTATTTTCTACCTGGTTAGGATTTGCTCTCCACACCATTGTTCTCATTAAAGCACACAGGGAGGCGTAAAATCAAATTTGTTGCGTGTGCAATATCCCTGCTCAATTTAATATAATTTAATTATTTTTTATTTAAGCATCTTGCACATTTTCACATTGTTGTTTTATTAGGATTTACTGAATGTTGTATGTACAGGAATAATAATAATGTGTTTTTTGTTTTGGTTTTGTCTGTACTTTGCCTGTGCCTGCAAATCAAGTTTCCCATCTCGGATAATAAAATGACCTAACTGAACTAAACAGGGAGAAAAGTAGAGCAAAATATATAGTTGTATCTTAATGTCTTCCTCTGTGCCTGAAAACATTTATTTTAAAAACATATATCTCCAACAGTTAGTCATTACAGTAACATCTGTGAGCTGCTCTTTGAGTCTGGCAGTTTCGCTTTGTTTGTCCCTCCTCGCTTCCTGTAGTACTGGCCACGGGTTGCCTGGAGACGGCGGAAACGTTCGGGAGCAGCGATGGAGAAGTATGAGAAAATCAAAGTTGTCGGAAGAGGAGCTTTCGGGTAAAAACTCGGAGTTTACCTGCACTTTTTACATATATAAGCTGTATATATGTATATCAGAAAACACGGAGTTGTCAAAGCGTGAAGTTAGAAAGCTGAAAGTCCGGGAGGCCTCGGTTTTCACCCCAAAATGTGAAGACGTATTGAACAGAAAGAAAAAAGTTTGTTTAAAAAGCACATTAATGCTGGTTGTGTGATAAATCTGTGTTTTCTTAACGTTAATCTCCGAACAAACTTTTGTCAACTACAGTTTGTGTTTTTTTGTGTGTGTTCAAAGCTAGGCTAGTTATAAGATAACATTAGTTTGTTATTTAAAGAGAGAAAGTTGTTGAATAATGTCTGCAAAAATACAATACAATAACCCGGGCTGGAGCTGGATTTAGCTCTCATAAAGTTTAGCAGACTGCTCGTTTTACAGTTTATTTAAAACTATTAAGAAATTAGCGAAATATTCAGCAGAGATGTAAAATCCCTAACTTATAATATAACTTACTTACACTGTAGTTTATATTCACTCCCTCCTGTTTTGCAGTGGTTCCCCAACCTTTTTCATATCATTTACTAAACTGTCGACCCACAATGAAGCCAAACAGTGAACTCAGTAATTACAGGATGTTTGTGTAAAACCAGTTATCTGGATGCATTTTGAGCAGATTATTATTATACAGTTCTCTGTCTGTTTTATGAACTTTCTTCATCATTTTTAACAAACTTAATAGGCTTCTTCTTTGACAAATCCAGTGTTTTCTCCTCCCGGTCATTGTTGTATTAGACAATTAACTTTATTTGACTTTACATTTCTTCACAGAAGTAAAATATAACTTTTTTAAGTTTTCTTACAGCCCTTAAAATCAAGAAGGCCTTGTGAAACCCCCGTAAAGAAAGTGTACATTTTAAAAGTGGTACCTGTACATAAATATACTGTAATTTCATTTATTTCATTCAGTCATTTTAGGGTTTCTTTCTAAAGCATAAACATTTCAAAGTTACTCTGTGGATTAAAATGTTTTGTTACACTCATAACATAGTTTATGGGGTTTAATGACATGACAGGAACGTGTCTAAGAGCGTTATTAACTTACTGTAACAAGCAGCAAATGTTAATCTGTGTTTTTGTACGTCTTTGTCTGTGCTGAATGTGTAGGGATTGTTTTTGAAAATCAATATATATACATAAATAAAGGACATTTTACACCACTGACTCACTGTCATACAACTTTTTTTGGCATATCTTCTTTCCTCAAATGACACAAAATGCCAGTAACAGCTCACCAGATCACCCTGCCATATTGTTCATGGGACAAAACATAAATCTGACTTTTCTTCATTTTCCTCCGCCGCCAGGATCGTTCACTTGTGCCGCAGGCGCAGCGACGGGGCCTTCGTCATCCTGAAGGAAATCCCAGTGGAGCAGATGTCACGAGACGAACGCCTGGCAGCTCAGAACGAGTGTCAGGTCCTGAAACTGCTCAACCATCCAAATATTATAGAGTACTACGAGAACTTCCTGGAAGACAAGGCTCTCATGATAGCTATGGAGTACGCACCAGGTGAGCTTACTGTAATATCTTATTACACGACCCCCTTTTGTTCATTGTTTGGTTCACTCTTCCCATGGCTGAGTGCTGCAGGGCTCCATACCTTTTTCTCGTTCCCATGTCAGCCCAAATGAGAACATCTAATACCAGTAAGTGTGGTGGTGTTTTGAGGGACAATGTGATCCGGTAAGTGCAATATTCAAGGTCTAATGTAAGAAAGGTAGATTGATTCAAAACTCTGCTGCAAGACCAAGAGCTATTATTCACTCTGAAATAACCCTAACCCATAAGACTGATATACTGACATTTATTTGGTCTATAAAAGAGAAATACAAAGGTATCCCATATCTAAACTTACAACTACCTTTCATCGCTCGGTGTGTTTTATTCTCATTGCTTCGTTTTAATCATTGAAGTGTCGCCACCCTACAATTGTAAGTTTGTTTTAGGTTTTAAAGGCTTAAACGCACTGAAACAGGCACCAGAAGTGATGCGCCTCTAATGCTGTTGGTGCACAGGTGTACTTCAAAATGCATTTAGGGCTTTAGTTTGGGTGTTTATTGTGTCATCCTTTACATTTATGTTGTCTAATGTCCTCTTTATTGCCTCAGAATCTAATTTAAACCAAATTAAACTATACTAAATACCATTTTATGTCACATTCCTGGCTTTGGTGAAATAGTTTGATATGATCCTGTTTCCTGAGATTGAGGCAAATCATTGAAGGAGGACGTAGAGTTTTGTTTCAGTTTAAGTTAAGCAGGAATCACTTATTAGTTTGGGATTTTTTTATACAGTTTTTGGGACTTTTATTGCCTTTGATTCATAAAAGCTTGTGACAGGAAAGGGGGTAGAGAGAGAGGGGATGACACGCAGCAAAGGGCCGCAGGTTGTTCCACCAGGGGAGCTACCAGGGCGCCCAAGTAAAAAAATATTGAATAATATTTCACTACATGATTCTTTTTTGTTGACATTAACGTTTCACTTGTGCAACAAGAGCACTGAACTTAAAGTCTGTTAAATCCATTACTTATTGGCTTTGATATAATCATCTCACTGCTATTTACTCAACCCACTAACTTAATGGATTTCTAAGATATTGCGTTTTTATTGAACATGACTCATCTCTATTGTTTTCTTCATGTAGGTGGAACCCTGGCTGATTACATACAGAAGCGCTGTAACTCTCTGCTGGACGAGGACACCATCCTTCACTTCTTTGTACAGATCCTACTCGCCCTGTACCACGTCCACAACAAACTTATTTTACACAGAGATCTTAAGACACAGAATATTCTTCTTGACAAACACCAGATGATTGTTAAAATTGGTGATTTTGGCATCTCCAAAATCCTTGTCAGCAAGAGCAAAGCTTACACTGTGAGTTGATTTGCTTCTGGTTACTTCGACATACAGTATTATAATCATCTATCAAATCAATGCTTCCTCTTTTTTTCACTCTGCAGGTGGTCGGGACCCCATGCTACATCTCCCCAGAGCTGTGTGAGGGAAAGCCGTATAACCAGAAGAGTGACATCTGGGCTCTGGGCTGTGTGCTCTATGAACTGGCCAGCCTTAAGAGGGCCTTCGAGGCAGCTGTACATAAAACATTTTCTTTACAAAAATCCCTCGCTTACTTGGATGTAGTGATTTAAATAATATTTTTTTGTGTTAACTTTTGAACTAGTATCACTTTAATTCAATATGTAATGCAGAAAATGGCTGTGCACAAAGGCAATGAAACATAACAACCATCAGAGCTACGCTATGTACACCATGGGAGATGGATTCTTACAATTTCTCAGAATATTTGATATGAAGACACCAGGCTATCTCATGTTTAATTCTAAAGCAGATTGCTGGGGCTTTTGATTTTAACACAAATCAATAATTCACAAAATTTCACATAAATTTTGCTTGCTCTCGAATCTGTCTTCACTGCCAATTCCATGTGAAAATCTGAATCCTTTGGCAGGGGTTTTGGGGGAGGGAGTTGGGGATTTTCACATATATATAATGCATTATTTCATTTTACTCGATAACACTCTTTAATTTTGCTTTCAGAATCTACCCGCCCTCGTTCTTAAGATCATGAGTGGGACATTTGCTCCAATTTCAGACCGGTACAGCCCCGAGCTCCGACATCTCATCCTCAACATGCTCAATCTGGATCCATCCAAACGGCCTCAACTCAATGAAATAATGGCTCTTCCCATATGCATCAGGCCCCTGCTTAACCTCTACACGGATATAGGCAATGTCAAAATGCGCAGGTAATGCCTAAATGCATGACTAACTTGTAATGAGTTGTTTCCTCTTCTATATTTGAGTAAAAACTCACCTCCTCTGGCTTTTTCCAGGATTGAGAAACCACTGTCTACTGTGCAAACCGGTTCTCAAGGTAGACCTGGAGGGAGAGTTCCTACCAACAGGTCTAGAGGTCAGGCACATAATACCATTATTTGACAACAGAGCTAGCTGTACCAGGTTGGTCACAGAACATTAATTTGAAATTTGATGGGTATTTCTTGGGCTCAAACAGATGGATCAGTTGGTTTAGGATCAGGGAAGGTGCATTCCCTCCCGCTGTCCTCTGTGTATACGTGGGGAAGTGGAATCTCAGCTCCTCTCCGCCTGCCGATGCTCAACACTGAGGTGCTTCAGGTGTCTCTGGGCCGCACTCAGAGGATGGGGGTGACTAAGTCAGGCCGTCTGATTACATGGGAGGTTTGTCTAAACCCTATTTTTTGACTGAAAAAAAAAAACACTAGCTGCTTATATGCCTCCCTGTCTCTTTCATGTTCTAAAATGTTGGTTTTGTGATAGCTTTGTGATGTTTTTTATGTGAAGCAACAGATTGTAGCAGTGTGCCCAAGACAAATGTCCTCGCAGGAACAATAAAGTTTAGTAGTAATGCATTCTAAAGGAAAATCCTCCCTGTAACACTGACCCACTATCAGGGAACAGCTGTGGTCTACTCTGCACTCCTGGGTCAAGTTGTTGATGCACAATGATGTATTTTGCTTAGCCTCACAGATAACAAATACAGTATCAAAAATGTTAATTATTGAAAGAATTCTGGTTTGCCCCTCAGAGAGCGTCTTAGTAAACTCAAAGACCACATTAAAGGGGAAGATACAGTATTGAAAAGGCAGAGATTGCAAATTCTACACCAGCAGTTGTCTCAGTGCAAATGGTCACAACCAATTTACCAAAGCAGCAGTTGTAGAGGATGTAAAGTTAAATGAGGCTGTCCGGGGAGTATGGGTACTTAATAATAAAGTAACTGCTGGAGGGCATTGAACATCACACACTGTTGGTCCCTAATAGTGTATCATAGGGTGGAATTTTACATTAACATTTTTGTTGCTTATGTTTTCCAGGAAAGAGTCACATTCTCACTCTTTTTTCCCCCATTAAGACTCATGATAATTTATTGTCACAGGCTCCATCAGTGGGATCAGGTGAGGCCAGTCTGCCCGGTGTGGTGGAGCAGATGCAGCCTCAGTTCATTTCACGTTTCCTTGAGGGTCAGTCTGGAGTCACCATCAAGTCTGTGTCCTGTGGCGATCTTTTTACCACCTGCATGACAGGTTGGTGGGCCGTTCTGCTTTGTATAACCTTTGGAGGCATCACATCTGTGCCCAGTGAGCTTAGTAGGGAGCTCTGCTAAAGGAAATCAGTGTGTATTCTCTGTTTTCTGCCTTCACACACTGCACCTCATGAGCATTTCAATGTACATATGAAAGTGTGGGTACAGTCAGCTCTTTTTCCCCGACTTAATCAGATAGTGTGGATCCACTTGTAAAATAAATGTCTGCATGCTTGCGTAGCAGTTTGGAAGTCGTTTCTCTTTAGCTCAAACTGTGGTTCTCTGTCAGTCAGTGCACTTTAGGAGGCTGTTGTCAGTCCGTCCAGCATTGCAAAGCAGATAACACAGGATTAAAGACCCTTCCTCTCAGCTCAGTTGCCTCTTTTTCATCACGTTTCACTGTAGTGACGCAGATTAGCGTTTCCTAGATAGGGATTAGACGCACTCTATTAGTCCACATAAGAATACACCCACACACAACTAATCAACTAATAGTGTCTTTAATCCCTTCTTTTTATTTTCAATTTGCAGACAGGGGCATTATCATGACGTTTGGAAGTGGGAGTAACGGCTGTCTAGGACATGGCAACTTCAACGATGTAACACAGGTACATGTCCACCATAAATGTAAACCCAGTCGCCAGTTTATTAGATACACTTAACTAAAGCAGTCTATATATTTT